TGAGGATGGACTGAGGATAAATCAGCATGAGATAACTGTAATAAGACCATACTGGAATATGGGCAAAGTGCAACTCTCAAAAGCAGCTTCGAGGATCTGGGTGCTGAAGTATTGACAACAAACATAGAACTAAGGGTATTTAAGTTTCTCCTACAGGTAGGTAAAAAAGACGAATCGCTAGGCCGCAAGAGAGAAAGGAGAGGCACGTAAGAGAAGTGTGCTTTGTGAATTCCTCTCAGCTCTTTTACACCTTCCTTTGACGGATCATAAGTAAACTTGTGATGTCGCGTCCTCCGCATAGTACACATCTAACTACAAGGTGGCCATAAATATGGTAACAGAAGAATTGATCGAAACCGCAGTTTATATTGGTAGAGGGTGAATTCATATGAGTTACTCACTTTGATCGCATCTGCAAAATAAACACAAGGTCGTCTTATGTAACCGTTTCCTGCACTAATCCTAGCTTAAAAGCCTTGGCCACACATCGAAGGTGGCACATAGATTTTTTTGAGAAACTCCACCCTGGGGTTTCTTCACTGATTTCTCAAGAGCAGCAATAGCACTGCAACTTGAATCGCAGGCTTTCCTCTCCAGATTAGTTTATGTTGTGGTTCGGAAAATTCATAAGAGGGTTGGAAGCTGGACTAAATTCTCGAACACTTCCACAGCCCCACTATTGATCTTTTCCATCCGTAAGCAGGTGCGCCCTAGTTTTCAAATCGTATCCCTAGAAAAACTTTTGACTCTCAGCTGCATCTTTTCGGCAAAATCCTTCCTAAAGAGGTTCGGATTGAACTTTGTAGTTTTCTAGACCAAAATTTGCGATATCGCTCTGATGGCAAAGATTCTAGCCCAAACCATCATAAAAGAGGGAAAATGGCTACGAGATGCGATCAGACTCGTCTCAGCGGCTTTAGCAACCGTAGTATGAAATGTACGTATACCATGGGATCTCAGCATTTCTTCCACGCTAAAAGTTCTTTAGTCGGAAAAAAGAGTGTCGATGCGCGTGCCACCCGCAAGTAGCACACTGCATCTGTTTTTTCTCTCCAATTTCTTTCCGTCAAGAAGCTTATGAGGCTTCCGTATTCTATCTGTATACGATTAAATTCACTTGGGGTGGACCATTATATCGGAGTAGATTATACAAACAAATCAGCAGTCGCTTTTCTCATGGTTGTGAAGGTTCCGCAGTGTACTCCTACCCAAGCTGTTATATTCGGAAAAGGGGTCGTCTGTGGGACAAGACGACCGTTTTGCGATTCGTCGTTGAGCTGTCTACGAATCGCGATTCAAGAAACCGTCATGTGGGATATGATGGAAGAGGGGCGAGCCCGGAGAAATACTCATCAAGTGCGCGCAAGGACGGAACGGTTGGTGATTGTCTGCGAGGCTGCACCTTTTTCTAAATCTGACGGATTGAGAACACCCAAGTAAATATGTATGTAGGCTTATGTAAATCATAATCATAAGGGAAGGTGCAGATTTGGAGAAACCCTCTAAACAAGGAAGTTACGGACGTCCGAAAAGTTGTTACCTAATTTGTAACGCACCCTGTACTTACTTAATTTTTCTCGTAGCATCTCTAGATGCTGAATGCACAATCGACAACCGTTTCGGTCTGTGACTAGCGCCCAAAACCTTTGTGTAGGATTAAAATCTCACAGGCTTCACAGACCCAGGCAAGTTCGTTCAATTGCAATGTTATCGCCATTTGCTTAAGCGTTCAGTCTTTTTTCGTTATTCTTGACCAACCTCATCAACGAACATGTACTTGTTCCTTGGAATTCTAAGTGGGTGAGACCTGTTCAAAATAGCCTGGATGCAAACACTTCCTCAGATTGAGTTCACGATTCATGTATTGACACTCTAGAATACTCCTTACCGATAGAAAGGAAGGTGTTGTCTAGAGAGATTCAACCGGTGTCTATTTCTTTGGTCGCTTCTAACGGGTCAGGGAGCAAGTGCCTTCCACAAATGGAAAGCTTTGCGGTTATGGAATTTAAAATCAGGGACTCCCCACGTGTATCAGTAAGTTGTTGTTGAACGACGAGCCTTAATTTGGTANATAGGGCCTCTGCTGAATGGTTTCAGTTTCTGATCAAACTGCTCTGTTCTAGGTTATTTTTCTCTTCTCCTGGTTCATCTCGATATGGAAAGTTGTGTCAATTTGGCTAGGTCACCACAAATACGCATCGGAATCAAGATCACTACCTTCTAGCGCATTTTTGAATTGGAGTAGAGACATGAATTTTCATTGCGGTTCAACCAACGATGATGGCAATGATTTCATTGTTGTAGAGAATCCAGTTCCGCTCAAACGTTGCAATGCGATCAATAAAAGTATAGTGCATGCCACGTAAAGAGAATTTCCTATACTGACAATCCTGCTGTTGCTCGCCTAATGGGAAGGAAACTTATAACGGCAATTCATGAAGCTTTTCGACTATCTAGACTTTCTTATCTAGACTTTCTAGAGTATCCACTCTCTTTATAATGCTTTATATTGTCGCCATTCTCATACACAAATCTCCTAGCAGCTTTTGCAGAATATCTTCCACCAATCCTCTTACCAGGAAAAGGTTTCATATCCCCATGGAACTTTGGATAGAGACTTAGGTATATCGATGGAATTCTTAATGTCANCAAATTCAGAAATTGAAACTGCTAAAAGTATCTACCAAAAAAGTTATGAGTGGTCAAAGTTTGTTTGCTGAATGCATGGAGAGGTCGTCCCAATTGAATTTCGCAGTTGCCCGCAAGAACCGCAAGTTTCGCTGTGACACAGTGTCAGTGCTCTCCGCCATCGGACGAGCGGGTTGGGTTTGCTTCCCGAAGCCGTCAACTTTCGCAAAGCGTGCTTTCTTTCAATCAAATGTCCTTATACCGTCTTTTGTAACTAATTCAAGCCAACGAGTGCAACGTGTCTAATTTCAGTTGCAGTTTGCGTCTATTTAGTTGGCCTAGCCAGAAGCCGTCAAGCTTCTAGCTCATGACCGCACTCTAGCCCATTCTCCTTCTTCCAGACTTCCTGCTGATACGCCACATTTTAGCCACGGTCTCTTTTGATGATTATTTATAACATAAAAAGTTTCTTGCAGTCAGAGAGTTTGCTGGATTCTGTTTCGCAAATGAAAACGAAACATGGCGCTAGCTTGGACTACTTTCCAAAAACGATACAAGGGCGTTCATTTAGAAAAAAAAACACATTTTGCAGAAACCTGCGTGGCGTCGAAAAGCATACTGACCTCGCTCGCCTGAAGGTGGGGAGCACTGCCACCACGCCATGGCTACCCTCACGGTCAATGCGGACAACTGCGCAATTCAACTGGCTATACCTCTCCATGCATTGAGCAAGCAAAATTCGAGGGCTCACAACTTTTTTGGGTGACACATTTAACATTTCTCGTTTTCTTTTCTGGATATGTGAATGAAATGTAAGGGCTATCGAACTACCTAAAATTTTGTCCAAAGTCCTATGGAACGTTGAAAGCCTTCCCTGGATAGTATAGCGTCATCAACAACGGAAAAGGTTCCCTGTACAAGTTATTTCGAAAGATTGCCTTAGAAAAGAAGCGCATGTGGTGTACTGGCAAGTGGCGCACTTCACATCGCATGATCACGGGTTCGAATCAAGGATCAATATCTGCCGCCAACCAAGATTTCTTTCTTTTCCGGATCGGTAATTGGTACCAGACTCGTCTGGGAGGTTACAAGTGCTGACAACATCGGCTGGTCCCGCAACTCACTGTATAGGATACATATTCAATACGCTACTACGATTATGAATAGAAGTGGAATGCGTGGGTGAATCCCTCAGACGGGATTGATCACGCCTTAAAGAGTTATCCTTTATCCTTCAACTCAAAAAGCAAAACTTCTACTTTCACTGATGAGCTGTGCTTCGTTGACTCATCGTTCATGAGATTTTCTATCTTTTGCGCCCTCATCAAAGGTGAAAACTTTGTCGCTACTTCAAGTACATCTCGCTATGATCGATACCGCTGGGATGAGGTGATGAAAAAAGTGGAGTAACCAGGCTTGTTTCCATTCTCGAACGTAATACGAATCGAAGACTTTTCAGCGATTGCAAAGGCACATCATGGAAATTAAAGGATAAAACTATATGTCAAGGACGCTGTGAAAAAAAATGCTTAGTATCTACGGCACCTCCAAGCGCAAACTATTTCGAAGTATGTTTTTTCAATAACTAGTAGAGAGCTCGACTTTGATTGTCGAAAAAATTTTAACGAGCGAACTCTGTTGATTTTGACTGTTTGAGATTTATAGCAGGGAATACCTTCCTACAACTTTCTTTTTACAATTCCTGTCGAGTTGCGTCTGCCGATACAGAGGTAAGCAAACCAGCCCGTTTGGCCCTTCTGCTGGATGCATTTTCTTATTCTTCGATTCTGTTCAAGGGTCTCATAATCCCACTCAGGGAAAGTACGTGGGGAGTCGCTTCTAAATCCCAGGTGGAAGTTCTTTATACGTTCTTTATAGGGCTGCCGTGCAACTGTGACAGTATGGTGTGCTTTAACAGTTGATTCATATATTCGCCCAATGTCTTCCACATATTAGCAAGGGAGTGTCTTCCACCAGGGATTTAAAAGCGACTCCCCACGTACATTCCCTGAGTGGGATTATGAGACCTTTGAACAGAATCGCAGGATAAGGAAATGCATCCAGCAGAAGGCCAAACGGGCTGGTTTGCTTATCTCGCCGATGCATCACCCCAGCACACGTCAAGTCTTAAGAAAAAGACTTTTTTATTTTTCCCCTGTCAAAAGGTGAAATAATTTCCGACATTAGTAGAAATTGCCGGAATATTCAAATGGCAATCAACAATGGGACTCATAGATTAGAGTTTGAACAACAATGACTTCGACTGTTCAGGTAAGGATGAGACAGGTTTAAGAGAAGTTTCGCACACTAATTNTTTTCTGATGCATATTTCCACGCTAAATCGTTGAAAGTATTACTGATTTGTCCAGGAGATGAAGATAATACTAAAAAACATTGTGAGGCTGCCTAACTTATATAAAAGTAGGTGTCGTTGGGAGCAGTTTGGCAAGAAAATGGATAATATTGTGAAGGGTCATTATGATATTTGAATACCAATTTAAACGCCAGTTGTGACACGTACAAGCCACCTTCACTTCTATAATGAGTACCGATGGATTTACAAACGAGAAAGTGGTGACGGGTTGTGATACTCAAATTTGTTTCTATTTTCCAAAGCTCCGTCTATGAGCTCAAAAAACACTGCTATTCATTTTAGCGGTACTTTTACAACAATACTACACCACCTACGAGGAAAGTCTGCTACTGCATGACGTTCATTGTCTTTTTGCTGATCCCTTGACGTTCTTGAATGCTTCCTGTGTTTACCTTCTGCTCACCTCCGGATAAAGGTCGCTCATTATGTTGACTTCTCTATCTAGATAGACGTAGCTAGAACATTCAGAGACATTTCTTCCGTTATGCTTAAAGGAGTTTTGGATAGCGGAGTCGTAGAGCCTAGGTAGAAAAGTAGCGAACCGTTACTCAACGGTGGACGATATGTTATTTAATGAATTAATTTAATCTTCTAGAAATTTTCTTTCTAAGATGATTCATAAATCGGCTGAGATTTGACCGACCACCCAGTATGACTTCAGATTTTATTCTTTGAAAGTCGCAGCTCTATCTCCTAGGGACTACGAGACACATCATTACTTCTAGACTAGGTCATTTCTCCTACATCGCGCTCGGCGCTGCCCTCTACGATCTCGAGATGACACTACAATACTACAAAGTGTCAGTGGAGCGGACGACTTGCTTTAGTTCGTATTACCTTCTTTTCTAGCTGACTGGACTCTTCTATATGTCCATTCACAACAGCGACCCCCGTTGAAAATCGCGGGCTGACGCGTCGTGTGCGACGGCTGCAGCGTGGCCTAGTTTCGGATATGCGGGACGAAGCGCACCACGGAAACTGATCTTAGAGTAGAGAACATGATGGCTCACTGATGTGTAGAACTTTGGAACAATCACGTCGTGAGCCATGCAAATTGTTCGATTGAAGTTATTATTTGATATATTTCGTCTGAAACTGTGCAGCAAGTGCCTTCCAAGTCCATCACGAATGCAGGGGCTTCTGGAGAAGCAAACCATTGAGAACCCAAGCAGACTTTCACCCTACGCTTTCCATTTCTGAGTTCCTAGGTAGAGCTCTTTAGCTGGTATTTTAAGACCAATCATGGTGTTGAATCCGCCGATGAACATTTTGAAGAAAGTATTTTTAAACCACAAAGAACGCCTCCAGCTTTTCTTCTTCCTTACTTGATGTTGTGCGTAGGCAACAAACATTGTTAGAGTTTGTATTCTCCCACATCTTTCCAGTAACAAACTTCCGACACGAAATTTCAAGCTTACTCACGCGAACGATCTAAAGTTCAGGGCACAGGCGAAGTGTGTGCTGAAAAGGACACTTACACCGCTGCCTCCCTTGCTGTTGGGTGTTCAAAAGAAACAGCTTTCTTTCATCCTTGAGAGTGTGTGCAGCGGGTGACGTCTTTTCGTTCGGCCAGTCCCTTCGTACTTGATTTCCTGGCTTGCATCATCTCATCTTCATGGCATACTTCCGAAGCGACGTTAGGTTGGAAGTACAAATCGCCATCCGAGTTTCCTCCTACTCAAGAGTGAAAAAGAGTGTTTCTTGAAAGAATATGTTTTCTGGATGTCTTCTTATATGTATGGTAACAACACCGTCCGTCTCTTGTTATGTTTGCCTTGGGGTCTGACGTTTCTCTTATCTCGGGTGACCTATTTTTCGAGTCGTATCTAGACATTTTCTTTTTTTTTGTAATACAAATTTTTGGAGGCAACGGAGGGATCAATCTCGTATTTACTTGACCTTGCAGTCTTCCATTCACCAGGTCTACCTATACATGTCTGTTGTGACTTCTACAATTAAGTGTAGGTCAACAAGTATTTCGGGTATTACGGTCAAATACTTGGGTCTAGGTCTTACGCCCTGGGTTCGTATTCAGATCAAAGAGGCACCTAATTTGGCCCGACCAAGAAGGACTGCGGTCGGTTACGTGGCCTAGCCGGACTATGCACCTCGCCGTGCTTCAATAGTATGTATAACTGTAAGAGATCGATGCACAAAATGCAGCACTCTCAATTTCTCAGGTATTCTTAGGTGGCTGATGGCTCAGGTCAACTTGGCAAAAATTCTACTATTATATGCCTATCATATATTATTATTTTATATTTTATTCTATTACTGTATGTTACGGCTCGTTGTTCTCAGCTTGGGGTCGCTGAGTCAAGAGAATGTTATCCTGAATCCTGGCATCCATCATTATGATACTGCCACCACTGCTTGGTTTCTTTTAGCAAGTACTGCCTGCATTGTTCACTTCTTTGCTTCTCGCTTCATGTCACACCAACACTTTTCTGGTTTGGTTGGGCGCACCAAGAGTGTAATTTATATAAATAAATAAATAAGGGGATTAATTATCAGATGGAGACTCCGCAACGTTAATCGTGTCTTCCCATTCACTTGAATGCAAGCTTTTAGTTGAGCTTATGTGCAAAATAGCAACCGGTGGCTCTTGGTTCGCGATTTATCGCACCACCCACCACCTGCTCTTGCACTATGTAGCCTCCTCAGCAACCGGGTCATTCAATTGAGGAGAATTTTTACTCAGGGGGGAGTTTGATTCACACCATAACCTATATTTTATTATCTACAATTTCCGCCTACAAAATGCAGATGACCAAAAGACTAACCAATAATACAAACAATATATGAATTCAATTTCATTTTTTTCTTAAAGAGTGCTTTATATGTTGTATATTCGCCATAATCTCCTGACCAGGTTGAAAGCGAGAAATTTGAAAGAAAAAAAACCGACTGACAGTACCGAACTCGAAAAAGAAACATCTCAATCGAATTTTTTTCTATACACGCTCTGAAGTTAAGTGTTCAGGAAGGCTGACTGATGTCGACTTTGTTCTCTTTGTGTCAGTTTTGGAAAAATATTGTGATGGCATATTGGCTTACGGTGGCCATTGCTTGGTCGACGGAATCACGAAAAGGTGAGCTGACTGCCTCGGTGGTATGAGTTAAGGTGGCGTGATTCTCTGGCTTGCCAAAATTAACTTCCCATCTTTCACTTGAAATAGTGTATGAGAGCTCGCCCATTTGAAGAGCGAAGGTAGATTCAAAAAACGCTACAGTGCACATACAGTCCATTTTCTTAGTTTTGCTTTTTATTCCTTCACGAGTGGTGGAAGAGCGAGCGAGGTATGAAGTTCGAGCCTTTTGAAATGCGTATCTGTCAACAGTGGAATACACTTCTGTTCAGTGGTTGTTTTGAAACATCCACCTGCGCGGCTGCATAATGGCAGGGGCACTACATTTTCGCCCTCCCAAAAAACCGCCATCTCATTTGCACATCTCACAATTTGTACAAACTTACACCAAGCTTCTAGAACAGCATCTAAATGAGAATGCAGTTATGACTTCATTTTATTTGTTTTCATGAATAGCTGGTGTCAATCAGTTGAACGGAAAGACAATGCTTTTTTATGCTGCCCTGGTAAAGCCGTCGTAATATAGTAAAAAATCAGCATGTCCAAGAGAGAGACGGCTTCAAAATGCTCCCTATTAGAAACCTGATTCATTCAGGCCAATAGCCGGTTTCATGAATATTTGTCCGGATAAGTTTTACGGAGCGGAAATACGTAAACTCTCAAAATGGAGAAGCATTATCAGGCATGAGCTCATTCATGCACTAGTATTCTCGCAGGAGCTGTTCCCAAATTTTCCAGGAGCTGGTGAACCTCAACGGTACGAGTGACGCCATTATAAATAGAGGCCACATTCGAAGATTTCCTTATGTAATTTTGAAATCTAGTACCACTTGACTTGGAAATTCGTGAATATAGTCAACAAAATGTGTTCCAGACTCTCAGAACGAAATGTGGTTATAGAAATAGCTTATAAAAAATACATGAACAGAAACATGGGCTCAAGGATATTTTGGCAACGACGGGAGGTCTAACGAAACCGAGCTCGAGTCATATCGCCAGTTCACCTTTCATCATATCTGTCACAAACAGTTTGGTCGGATTGCTGATATTATAACATTTTCCCAGACTGGACCAGATCTCTAACCCCTGGATCCAATACATTTGTTTCGATGTGCTACTCTTCTTTGATTCTATAGGCAAGAATAACAGTCTAAGACAGCCAAGAAGGAAAGGAAAAGAGGAAGAGGAAAAAGGAAAAGGGAAGGAAAGAAGAGGAAAAAAGGAGGAAAGGAAAAAATCGTCTGGGCTCACTCTCACTCATAGTGTTCCCTTTGTTGAGAAAGCATTTTTACCTCATAGCAACGCTTAGGTTTTAGGGATAAATCATGTGTAATGGTAGTATAAACACAGATCCCTCGGAATTATTTCATTCACTGGTCCCATTCCCGTATGATGTACTGCACAGCTGCGCTGGAGGAAAAGATAATGGCTCAAGTGTCTTGTATAAGCCCTTGGTTCTGGTGGCCACTGAACGATACGGCCACCACTTTCGAATGTGGCCTATTTTGTACTGAGATTATTAAAACGATAAAAACCTTTCTTGTTAATAGGAAAGGGTCATTCAACATTGTCCCCAATGTTACCCAACAATACAAACGTCTCGATTGGGAAACATCAAAAGGACCGGTAAGTGAAACATTTAATTACTGTGACACGATCTATCTTTCCCAACTATTTTTGATGGAACGGGAACAGCCATGTTCCTTCGAAGTTGAGCTAATTGTAGGAAACGAATTCTGATAAAGCGAAATTCAGGTGAAACACGATGTCCACATGGTAGTCACGCCAAAGGTCGTGAAAGAAGCTCGACGGCACTACAACTGTTCCACCTTGGAGGGAGCAGAACTTGAAAACCAGGGTGAAGGGGGAACGCCTGGCAGCCATTGGGAGAAACGTGTCTTCGAAGTAGGAATTTCAGTTCTACTAGGAAAATTCCTTCAAATGCCGAACTGATGAGTGA